TCAGCTTAGTTATTGAATAAATTCTATATGCAGTAGCTATAAAAGGAAATTTTATATGTGAAATTTTTCAAACTATCGTAACGGGATGTAATTGTGGTAATTTTTTTTGGCAGGATTTAAAGAAAATTTTTCAATATAGGCATGTACGTAGAAATCACAAAATATTTAGTTGAAGTGTATCACTGAAGAATATTTAAACAATCAGTCATCTATTATACCAATAAGCTTAAATGGTCAATGAAACCCTTGTACGTAACACCTGCATTGTTTAAAATAGCATGGATATTATTTGAATAATAATTATATAATCTTACTTGATTCTTGATTATTATCTCTCTGAAGTAATTCTGCATTAGTTTATTCAAGCAAACGATTCCTAAATTACTTAACTGTTTGGCTATCAAATAAAATTATTTTCCATTTCATTTTCTATTTTGTGCCTGTTTTTGTTCCTTCAAATAGTTTCCAATTCTATAAACTTCATCTTCTGCTGAGATTTTATTTGTTACTTTATTAATCAAAATGAAAGATTATTTGTAAACAATTTCTTTAATTTGGACCCAAGATGAAGTTGCTCCTCCCAAGTTATTTATCAAATAGAAACAACAAGTTGATAAAAATGATTCGTTATTTCAAATTGTTGTTTTTTAAATCTAAATTTCAAATAAAATTTGCCCCATCCTGCTGTATATTAATATCTTAATTTTTTAATGCGTTTGTGATATGTACAGGCATGTAAGTAGAAATGGACTGCCTTGCACAGACAGCCACACTATAAGCAGACTCACTATAAGTAGAATCGGTACGCTCGTTACCTTGTCATTTGTCTGACATTATTCAATCAAAACTAGGATTATTAATCCTAGTGAATTTAAAAAAAAAAACAAAATCTGAGTCTTGAGAGATTAAATGTTTATTTAGTAAATATCTTGTAATTTTTATACGCATATTTAAATTGGAATTTTACCAATATAATTATTTTTACATGTTTTAAGAGAAAGTTTCAGAAATTGAATTGATGTTTTATTTATAAGCAATTGCAGACGCAAATAACTCGATACACAAAGATACCTGTGATTATTTTATTGTTTACAAAGCCTCGTTTAAATTTAAGACTTACCAATTAGTTACTAATTTTCAAGTTAGCTTTAAATATAAGTTATTCCAGTGTCTATATTTGTCGAGTCCCTAATGAGTAACAAATTAGTCGAACATTCCAGTCCAGAATATATCTGAGAGCTTAATATATTATTATATGAAAATTAAAAACGTAGGTATAGATATCGAAAACTTTAGAGGATCAATAAGTATCTAAAAATAGTAATTGTTGTACTAAAAAGTTTGTTGTGCTAAAAATTTTGTACGTATATATATATGATGTACAAATTGTGGAGAATTTATACAGAAACTTTGAAATTTAAAGATTTGATAATTTAAAAATTAAGGAAAACTATAATGAATAAATTGGGTATAATAAATTGGACGAATGGATATAACAATAATAGATATAAATTGCTAATGCTGTGTCTCTTTCCAAATGAAATTTTTCTAAATTTCATCAAATACTCCCTTCTTCTAAAATTATATTGAAAATTCTAACGAAGTAATTTATGTAATAAAGTTAATTATATTCATAACAATACAAGATGTTGTCAAAATTAAATTAATTAATGTTAATTAATGTTAGTAACGAATGAAATCATGGAATTAATTGTAACATTTTACACTACAATGTAAGTATGCTATCGTTCGACTGCAATTTACATTACTAATTTAATTTAATTTTTTCACAGAATACAGGAGAATCACATCTATTAAAATATCTCAACGAGAGTTTGCCAACAAAGTTGAATCAAACATATCAGTATAACTTCTAAAAGTCAGAAATGGAAAACAACATACCTGTCATAGCTACACTGTCGCGCATAAGTATTTGGAAATTTTTAAATTATATACATAATATACATAAAATGCAGTTCAAACGAATCTCTTTAATTCCACCGACAATTGATAAAAAAAAAGGGAATAAATAAAAACAATTGGATGAAAAATTTCACAACGAGCGAAATGCACGATTTTATATGCGTCTCAAACAATCGTTCGAAAGTGGATTTTACAGATCTTGCGAAGCGTCAGGTTTCGTTTAATAATAAAAAAACGAACGAAATGAAAGACTTGAAGACGACAATAGAGAAGGATTCGCCAATGGCGACTGCCGGAAATATCGAGCTTCTAATAGAATTGCACCAGGCGTCCAATTATTAAGTATATAATGGCAGTATAACAAGAGAGAGAGAAAGAGAGAGATCAAAAGAAATATACAAAGCCAGAGACTTCGACGTGACGAAGATGGATAACGTGGAATCGCCAGCGGAGGAACACTGTTGTGAACACTGCTGTGCTGTGTGTCGTGTTCGCCACGTTCTCGGGAACCCCTTTTTCTCCACGTAGCCAGCAGCCGACAATTGTACAGGTGAAGCTCATATCGACCTGCCGCCAGAAATACCGCGCAGCATCGACCGTCGCCGTTATACCTGGTGTGTGTTTCCTCTCCCTCCCTCCCTCCCTCCCTCCCTCTCTCTCTCCTTCTTCCCCCC